CCTTTCCATTTGGATTGGGAATAGGCCTTTCTCTTATTTCATTTGCTTTGTTGGATAGGCATGACAGGGGCACTTGCAGAACTATTGGAATGAGACTTCTTCATTATTGCTTCAGTCTTTTGCAAGAGATTATGAAGCTCAATCAACATGGTCCTTTGTATTGCTCAAATAATAGGTCAAGATGAACTAATCATAACTACTAGACAGAGAGTTAAGGACCATGTCAAAACCTAGAAACAAAGGATGTGCGGCGTGCTCGTCGCGTGTGTGGGGTCCAATAGAAGGGTGCGTGCTAGTTGGGAATATTTTGGAAAGGGAGCAGCGAATGAAGCCAAAATTCACATTTATGTTGGAACTATTAAAGGTGCACGTGGCGTATATGACATGCACGACGCACACTACAAAGATTTCAATTTTGACACTTTTTTCCGCAAATTATTCACCATCCTCCTATTACGCACTAAAAACCAAACAACTATTAAAATTTACGAATTTGACATAATAAGGAAATGAATAGTGCATTTAAAATGACAAGGAATATCATCTAAGGAATTCATAGACCGATAAGAAAACAGGTTGCTAGGATAGCAACAATATCATACGACGATAAATAGAATAGTATCTTCCCAAAGGATAAAATGTATAAGGATTAGCATCACAACCATATTAGTCAAGATTAGACATAAGAAATGATGAATAACATATCTTCTATCATTACAGGATGACATCACCACAACTTTAGCATTAATAGATCCAACCACCATCAGGATAATGAAGCCAAAATTCACATGTATGTCGGAACTATTAAAGGTGCACGTGGCGTATATGACATGCACGACGCACATTACAAAGGAGGAAATATGAGTCAAAAGGAAAAAGAAGTTGCTCAGATAGAGAAAACCTATAAAGAAGTCCTCAACAACAAACCAAGACCCTTCTATGGAGACGGAGGAGTAAATAGTTTAATCTACTGGATGAATGAGATGGAGAACAAGTATGCCAAGGAATGTAGGGTTAAGTTTACAATGTGAACATTTATAGGAAGAGATCTTATCTTGAGGAATAATCAAGTCAAAATTTGGGCGTAGACGTAGCCTACATGATGTCAGGGGAAGAACTGAAGAAGCAGATGATAAGGGAATTATTTTATAAAGGAGACATGGCACAAATGGAACATGAATTCAGTCTCTTGAGCACAAGAAACTCATGTTTAGCCACCCATACCATACACTTTGAGGACCTAGCCATTGTATGCCCTGTATTGATTGGTTCTAAAAGCAAGAAGTTCGAAGCATACATTCAAGGGATAGCTTCCCAAACCTGAAGATTTTTCTCTGATCATCTCCATCATTTCTACCACATTTTGAACTTCATCAAGAGAGGGTGTTGCAGTTGGGCATTAGTTATTATCCACTTGAGCTTCTAGAATAAATTCTACTTATTCTACCTCTTTATCCTCTTCCTCCATCGAAATATCTGATATGGTGTCATCCTCGTCCTCTACATCATTCCTTTCATCTTCTTCTTTCGATTCGTCCTCTACTTTGTCGAAAGGAACCGGGTGGAATGGAGACCACTCATCAGTGTATTCAACAACACCTACATTATAAAACACTTTGTCCGCCATAACTGTGTTCTCGTCATTGATCTACTTACTGCTTGATGTAAATACCCGAATTTGGCCATGGAGAAGTCTCTTCTATTATGGATGTCATCAAATGGGGATATCACTATACTAGATCTTCTAGCTATTGAAAAAAAGTTAGCTTCATCCCAAAGTTTCAAAGGTAGCCCAAGAATCTTAAGCCACATTGTATGTTCGTATTTCAGGACATGTTGATTGTCACACTTCAACCATTTAGACCAATCTTTCTAACTATCTTGGTCATTTAGAAACTCCGTTGCAATAATTTATCTGTCAAAACCTAATGTAATGTTGAGCCCCCAAGGTATTTTGTAGGTTCGTTCATTAGTAACGTAGTCGATAGACTTCCAATGTGGTTCTAACTGTGTGCCTCCCTGATAAGCACACTCATACACAACCAATAATCCATGTAGGTTTTTAAGTTTAGAACAGTAGGGGAGAAAGGGGGACCGAAGGGATGTTGCTATTGTTTGAGATGACCTGCACAAACATCCTTCTATCACTAGAAACAAAATTTAGAGGAGGGGAAGGCGGCTTGGTGTAGTCGCGATAAGGCGACACGGTGAAGTTATAATGTTTTTTTGGGGGATACTGACGTTGGTTATCTTTGGTGTCTTACGATGATGTTTTGATAGGTTTATGGTGCATAAAACATCCATGCATTTAGTACCATGAAGTTTTTCTACCAAGTCTTTTTCATCTACAACCCCTTTGTACATACGAAAGCAAAATTTATTCTTCAGTTGTCTTTCTTTCCTCCCATGTAAATGTCCACCACTCTATCGAACTTTGCAAATGGTTTCTATAGTTCTGATTTCCTGATCCCCTCCTAAAATTCTACAACGTATATGTTTGTTAAGTCACTATCACTTTATCCCCTGTTATGTGTTTTCTCTGGCGGACTTCCATCCACATACTGACTTTTTGGAACATGCTATTTTTTCTTCCCATTGGCTTTTAAATTAGAAGAATTAGTTGACAATAGAACTTAATATTCATCTTCTTCGAACATAAAATTAACATTACTAATAAGACTCCTAGTTCCATGTGTGGAATGACATTCTAGTTTCGTGAAAATTCCTGTTGATTTTGCAATTTTTTCTATATCAATTTCCTCAAAATGGTCACAAAATTAGTTAAAAGTACTAATCGTTCTTGATTTTAAAACTATAAAAATCATTGGTGTAACATTGCTCATAGTTAGCCTAAAAATGCTACTTTTCAGAAATCAAAGGGACCATTGGATAAATTATGTCTAACAAAAACGTTTATGTGTAGGAATGAGCAGAAAAAGCAGGTACTTGCTTTCGGAATCGGAACCGCCAGTTATGGAATCGGAACTTCCTTACGTGGTTCTAGTTCCGGTTCCCAAATTGTCGGAACCGCCTAAAGCGGTCCCGATTTCAATTCTCACTTTTTCGAAACCCCTACCCACTGGATAACCGTTGGTTCCGGTTCAAATACCGGGTACCTAGAACCGCCGGTTACCCAAAATTATTACTGGCAGGGTACCTACCTTATTTTAAAGCCAGAATATGCATATATATATATATATATATTGGTGATTTTGTTTAACAAATATAAAAAGTTCTCTTACTTTTAGGTCAAAGAGGTTTTTTTCTTACTTCTAATCACCATATTGTCATTGGCGTTTGGGGTTAGATTAGGTATATCATCAATAATCACCTTTTATGCATGGACAATTGACTTTCTTCTTCTTGTTACTTCTATTAATGATAGTGAATATGGAAGCATTTGAAGTTAGGGTTTTTATGATTGGCCACATTAGTCACAAAGGGTCTCAACCTACCATGAAACTCTTTTATGGAGCCTTTTTTTTTTTAAATCAACACACACACACACACACACACACATATATATATATATATATATATGTGTGTGTGTGTGTGTGTATGGGGGGGGGGGGGGTTAAAGTGAATATACCTAACAACCTTATATAAACTTAGCTACCTAAACCCATCATAGTACGTTGTTTTGCATTATAGTTTCATTGAAATCGTCCAAGGTTCTTAAACTTCAATCCTTAACTTGATTTACTTTCAAAAATTTTGGACATTCACCATTATATTCTTTCTACATCATTTGATTTGTAGCGGTAGTATATGAAGCCCATTATGATGTATTCGACAAAAAGATGTGATGTAAAAGGAAACTAATTATGAAAGTCCAAAAATTTTGGAAGTAATCAAGTTAGCAGGTTGAAGTTGAACAACCTTGGGCAATTACAATGTAAATATGATACAAAACGACGTATTATGATGGGGTTAGGTACCTAAGCTTATATAAGGTTGTTAGTATATTCGCTTTACCCTATATATATATATATATATATATATATATATATATATATATATATATATATATATATATATATATATATATATATATATATAGGTTCTTTTTAGGGGGTGTTTCTTTTAGCATATTTTTTCTGGCTTTCTAGCTTTTCAACTTATTTTTTGGGCTTATACAAATTAGTGTTTGGGTTAGCTTATTTGCTTTAAGCTTATGAGCTTATTTTATATATATATATATATATATATATATATATATATATATATATATATATATATATAATATCCAAGGTACCTTTGTGAATAGTAACCTATTCCGAATGGTCCACATTTGTTTATTTTTTCATTTATTAAATTTCTCCCTATTGTGTTTGGGTTCCAACTCCTGGAAACTGCTTTATTCCGCCACTATCAAGCTAAGCTTATGAGCTTATATATATATATATATATATATATATATATATATATATATATATATATATATTTTAATTGTGAGGTACCCTTGTGAACAATACCTCTATCTGATTGGCTGGATTTTTTTATCAACAATGCCATTGGTTGATTTTTATTAACCTGCTCTTACTAATGCCTTTCACCGCTTGTTACATAACGTGTCGTAATCTTCTTCCCTCTGCCACTAACAAATGTGTCTTAATCTTCTTCCTACTGCCACTAACGTGGCGTTTCGCTGATGTCATCGACTTTGTAGCCCAATCATATTAGGATTGGTGTCGTTGTATTTGAATAGCTACCGAACATCTTAAACGATAAAGGAAGCTCATTGCTTCAACCTCTCTTCACCCAATCTATAAGTAATGAGTATCAGACACCTTACCTTTATCGACACCACCTTCCACTTTCTCCACTCCTGTTGTTTTTCGCCTGCCACCGCCTTTATCCTCTAAATTAGGTCAATTTTTGTATTGATTTTTTTTCAGATTCAGGAATATAACTTCAAGAACAGGGAAGGGTATGGGCGTAATAATCGACCGACTGGTGGGTTAGTTTACCGGGGTTAGTGTACCCTCCTTCTTCCACAAATGATCCTCTCTATTGTGATTTCTTCTTTTCCTCCCATCAAAACCTCCAAATCTGCTCATCATTGTCTGCTTATTCTATCATTCTCTACTCCTTTCGATTTCCAATCGAAGGTGGTGGTAGAAGAAGATGGTGGGCCAGTGGTTGCACGCCCAATCGTCTTTACAGGTAAGCTCCAGATCTCTCTATATATACTTTATTTCAGTAAGAACCGATTAATTTGAGGTTAAATAGGTTTTTTCCCTTAGTCCTTAGTCCTCTTCTGAGTTTTGAGCGGCTGGAAAAGAAATTCGTCAAATTGAGTATATCAGAAAACCCTAACTTTATGTGTTTTATTTTTCAGTACACTCTCTCTGTTTTACATATCAATTCCATTTTTAATACTGTTTGTTAACTTGCATGTGTAGCTGTGACACTACTTGATTATGGTGTCGGTAATGTTCAAAGTATTAGAAATGTAATCCGGTATCTAGGTCTCGATATCAAAGGTGTAAGTTCTTCTGATTTTTATTATGCAATGGTGAATATGAACAATTAACAATGCCATAATATATCTTGTCCAGGTTGAAACACTGGAAGACAATATGAATGCAAAGCGCCTTATTGTTCCTAGGGTTGGAGCATTTGCTGCAATGATGGATGTCTTAAAAAACAACGGGTAAGTTTTACACATCATGTTTACAATGTTTTTTCATCCATTAGCAAACAAAATTGAAATTTCATTTTGATTATTTTAGGATGGCTGAAGCACTTTGTAGTTACATAGAGAATGATCAGCCATTTTAGGCATTTGTCTTGGTCTGCAACTACTTTTTGAGTCAAGTGAATAAAACGGGCCATGTGAGTAGTTGTAACTTGTAATTTAAAATAAATTTTGTTAACTGCATCAATGTTTGGTGTCTCAGTGAGAGGTCTTGGTTTGATTCCTGGGGTGGTTGGATGTTTTGATTTTGTGAATGGTTGTAGAGTGCCTCATATTGGCATGAATACTTTGCAAATTTGTAACACCCCGAAATAAGGTATGTATCGATAACCCTTACTTTTATTTAATTGTCAAAACTTGCCCTTAAATGACAAAAAGGTGGAACATGAGTACGCGGGGTGTACGTGTGTGTACGCTTAGCGTACTTATGTGCGTATTATGGACTCGGAGGCCAACTAGTACGTTGGGCGTACTAAGCTCAGAGTGAAAACCTTAATTATGTGGTGTGTCCCTGTTTAAGGAACATGATGGCCTCATTTCCAGCCACCATTTCCAGCCTTCAACTTCCCTGAAACCCTAAATTCCGTTCTTGTAGCTTGTATGAGCATTTGGGGCTCCTTGAGTGATTTTTTGGGATGTGAAGAAGGAGCTTTGAAGGAAGAAGAGTTGGTGTCCAAGCTTTTGGATATGAGTTTCTCTGTGGTTGGTGCATCATTCAAATGTATCAACCTCAAAGCTTTCTCATTGTCTGATTAGTTCATGTTTTGGTCAATTTTTAGGGTTTTATGTCCCAAGCTTGAAGCTTTATGAGTTTTGTGAACTCCATAGCAAAATACATGTCCATTTAGGTGTTTCTAGTTGTTTGGACTCACAAAGATGAGAAAAGATGAGATATTGGATGTGAAGATCTCTCCATGCATGATATATGAGGACCCTTGTGAGTAAAGGATGAGAGTTTATGAGATTTATACTTATCCAGCCACGCTAAGGCTTAAAGTCACCAACTTTATGGAGCAATGGACCTTATCTAGCCCAGATCTATAGTAGTAGCAATGGTCTTAACAGATTAAGACTAAAAGACGCACAACGTACTGCTGAGCCAACCTAATGCATGCTTGACTGACTGAACGCCCATCGTAGAGGGATGTATGCCTAACGTACGTGCTGGGTGTTAACTTTCATTGACTTTTAAGGTTTTGGTCAAGTTTCGGACTTTGGAGGCCTTGCAGGGGGTTAAATGGTCTTTTACCATTCTGAGATTTAGTTAGGGAGCTTAGCCTAACATCTTTTGGGAGGTTGTTAATACCAATTATTAATTAGAGTAATACATGATATATGTTAGGCGGAGTCTAGACTGGTATTTCGGGTACAAGATATATTGCTTTACTTTACGAGGTGAGTCTCCTCACTATACTTACTCGAGTGGTAATTACTGTGACACCATAGGGTCTTATCTGTGTTATTGACTGAAGGGTCTTATGTGTTTATACTGAGATGTGTGATATTATTCATTCTGTCTTTGTGATTCATGCTGTATATTATTTTGTGCATTTATTGAGATAGGACCAGAGGGTCCAACCCGAGTTGTGAGACCAGAGGGTCCTTACTGAGATACAGGATTGGAGGGTCTAACCCGAACTATGAGACCGGAGGGTCTTCACTAAGACACATGATCGAAGGGTCCTTATCGAGTTATAGCCATGAGAGGCTAATTGTTGTGTGTGGTATTTTGGGGAACTCACTAAGCTTTGTACTTACAGTGTTGTGTGAGGTACATCTCAGGATCGCGGAAAGACGCCGATATGATTATACACACTAGCTTGTTGATTTATGTTTTGAGGATTATGGGATATGTGACAAACAATTTTTATGTGGTTGTCTTTTGAATTAATTATAAACTGAGTATGAGATGTTAAACTGTGTTTTTTTGTGAAATTAAAAATGAAAATTTTATTTGAAAATTTAGAGTGTTAAAAAATTAAAAAAGATTCACTTATTTTAGATGAGATTGCAAACCGACATGTTTTTTTTTGTTCATTCTTATCGTGCTGTACCGGTATGTTTCTTTGTAACCAAATACCAATTATACCCCCAACCTTGGTTTTATACAACACAACAGTCTGAAGAAAATAAAAAGTGGGTTTTATCCACCTACAACTATGGAATTGTGTTGTTTGTGATAATATTTTTTTTCCTTTCTAACATTATTATACTTATTTTATGCATATATATGGTAAGATGCTTCAGGGTTAATTTACAAATTCAAATTTTATTCTATTTTTCTTTTTCGTTTGTGTTTGTCATCAGAAACAAACCATCTATTAAATTGTATACAATCTACGTGAAAGAGACGAGTCAAGTGGTAAAAGAGAGCAACAATGTTCAGTATGCTACTATTTTTCTTAAAAGAGAGCAATAATGTTCAGTATGCTACTATTTTTTTTTAAATACATCTAACTTCCTTTTTATTAAGTATATTTTGTTGTTATTCGTTAAAAGTATGTTGCTATTGTTAATAATTACGTATAAGTCCTTTTTAGTAAATACTATGTTGTAGTTTTTGGCAAATAGAATATGTTTTCTGAGGTCTAGTAGTTTTCAGGTAGCGTTTTACGAGTTTTTCTTCCATCGTAATACTTTTTTAAAATCTTTGAATTGTTTCTTTAAGATTTTCAAAACTAATAATTTAAAACAAAATATTGAGGACTCTCTTTTATTTAATGCTCAAGTGCATTTAAAATCTAACTAGGTAGGTTAGATTTTTAATAATATTGTCATTCAAAAAGAAAAAAATAAAGAAGTTTGTACAAATATAACTCCTATCAGAAGAAAGATGATCATGGAACACCAAATTGTATAATTGGAAAACAAGCTCTAAATATTTTATTTAACAAGATTCAAACAAATAATCCAATTTATGCTTTATATATGGTTGGAGTTGTAATAACTTTACAGTAAGATTTGTTAATCCATTTTTCTTTGTTTGTTTCTAATAATTTCAAAAATACCCTCAACATTATGAAAAGAAGGATGCTTGTGTCCATATAACTTTTAGTAATTTGGGTTTGGCCGCAGGGGCGGATCTATAGTGGTACACGGGGTTGCACCGGCAACTACTAGATTTTTTCGTATTAATATAATATATAATTTTTTTTTATTATTATTATAAACCTATAAAGGAATGAGTATATTATCGTTATACTTCACATGTATTATCAAAAGTTAGGATGGCTAAGTTGGTGAAAGGCGCATGCTAAAGTGTTTTTTGGAAAAAGGGCTCGAGTTCAAATCTTGCTAGCATCAAGGTGTTTTTTTGTTTTTTTTTTGTTATTTTTTTTGTTTTTGCATTCACTTTTCCTTTTACGTACTATTTGTTACTGGCCCCAAAAATCTATAGCCAAAAAAATCATGTTAAAACTAAATCCTTTCAATAAAACTCAATTAAATTACTTTAATAGTTGTTTAAAATTCTTATATTAATAGTTTACTTTTTCATTAACTTGACAACCATTTAATAAAAAATCACTTTTTTCCCGTTAGCAAATATATGCTCCCATGAACTCAAAATTATTTCAATCGTCTTCATATTTAATATATATTTTCATACACAATTGGGCATATCAGAGCTATATACAAATTCTTTGTGACTCATGACCTTTCATAATTTTCTATTTAATTTATTCTCAACGTAATAGCTTTTCCATCATAAAAAGCGACAAAACAATAATACAATAATATGATAAGAAGTGACGGAAAATAGTGGAGTGAATGAGGGAAGAAGATATATTTTGGAGATATACTAGAAAAAAATATAGACATTGAATAGTCATTTATTTTTATATAAGATTTAATCAAAATTACATAGTTTTAATATGTTCTATATTTAAGGTTGTATACTTAACGGTCTTATATTCACTTTTGGCGTAAAATAATTACTTAGCGAGCTAGTCTCCTCCTATAGGAGTCCTACTTTAACAGTTTTTTCCATACACATCACACACATATATGTGTACATACGCATTACATATGTTTCAAACTAAACAACTGTTTTTCTTCATAATTATTAAAATTTAGGTCAACTGAATTTATGTCTTATTATACATTGTTTGTTTTGTTAAGCAAATATATCGAACTTATAAAAAAGCATTTATTAGTTGGCATTTGTATATTATATTTTGCTCTAAACAATGGAACTTATAAATATGCATTAATTCGGAATCAAATTTTGGTAATATTGCCTTCAAAACTTTGTACAACCACAATCAACAAGGAAATAAACTCCACGAGACCAAGAACTTGTCCATGAAAAGACCAATTTGACCTTCACGAAGTTTGTCTACAATAGTTTGTTATGTTTAATGCACTTGTATTTTTTTTTTTGGTTATATTTTATCGGATTTTTTTTTGTGCACCTACTGCTACTTATTCCTGCGTCCGTCCCTGTTTGGCCGTGTTGTTTGCTATCAAATTCTCAAGCTTATTATGTATAAAGGAACAAATCATGACACATAGAAACATAGAAGTACATATATATATATATATACACATCCATCAAAAGAAAATGAAACATTAAAACAAATCCGATTAAATATGTTATCTAACCACTTCTTTAGTATATCCATTCCCATAAAGTAGGAATTCTTTATTAGTTTTATCTAAAAATAAATAAATTTTCAAAACCCAAGTGAAAGCAACTTTTTTTTTAATATATCCAATCCCAGTAGGAATTTTTTATTACTTTTATCTAAAAATAAATAAATTTTCAAAACCCAAGTGAAAGCAACTTTTTTTTTTTTTTTTTTTTTCCAAATGATTAATTTATTTGTTTATATTTTTTAATTTATCTTCGACCCTAAATAATTCTTCTTTTCCTAACAGTATGTTATTCTTCTTTTTTAATCATTTTATAAAAATAAAATAATACAAACAAACTGTTAACGCATACAACTTAATAGCTCGATTTTCCCTTGATTAACATGTATGTTTGATATTCTAACTCCCACACACGTAAAAACCCTAGAATTCCTAAAAAATAATTTGATTATTTTATATGTTGTTACTCCCACATAGGTAAAAACCCTAGAATTCCTTAAATTTTTTTTAACCTTCTTACCAGTGCTTTGCCTTGCCCTTCCTTCATCATCATCATCTCATTGTTGCCCTGCGCTATTCCAAGTAAACATATTTGATTTGTTTGCTTTTGATTGAATTAAAAATAGTACAAATTGTTATTAGGATTCATCACCTTACTTTTTCCGACTTGTTGCAGATTCAAACATGGAAGACGACAAACACGAACGGAAATCATTCAAAGAATTAGGATTAGTTGAACAATTAATCGAGGCTTGCGATCGTTTAGGCTGGAAAAATCCTTCCAAGATTCAGGCCGAAGCCATTCCTCATGCACTTGAAGGTCCATTGTTTCAATTCCAAGCGATTCTTATCAGTATGTTTGTATCTCATAATGTATGTAATGTTTAGGGAAGGACTTAATTGGGTTAGCACAAACTGGTTCTGGTAAAACTGGAGCTTTTGCTCTTCCGATTCTTCAAGCCCTGTTGGAGGCGGCGGCTCCACCTGTTCATCACTCCTTCTTTGCCTGCATCCTTTCTCCCACAAGGTTTGTCTGGCTTTGGGAAACTCCTTATGATTTTTATACTTAAATTTTTCTTCAATGGTCTTTAGGGAACTTGCAATTCAAATCGCTGAGCAATTTGAGGCCTTAGGGTCAAGCATTAGCTTAAAGACTGCAGTGGTGAGTTGTTAATTTCTAGATCAAACCAATAAATATTACTTTATAATGAATTATGATTTAAGCTTTATGAATATGAACTTTTGGTAATGATTTACAGCTTGTTGGAGGGGTAGACCATGTACAACAAAGCATCACCCTTGGAAAACGACCACACATTATTGTAAGCTTTCTTCTTTATGATTTTTCATTTTTTATTACGTGCAAAAAAACATGAATATTTCTTGTCACTTGTTATGCACTCAGGTTGCGACACCTGGACGTCTAGTGGATCATTTATCTAACACTAAAGGCTTTTCTCTTCGCACGATAAAGTACTTGGTAATAATCCCTTCTTTCTTCCTGTGAATTTATTTTTTATATGTGTCACATATTCACATATGTGTTACAGGTTTTGGATGAAGCAGACAGATTGCTAAATGAGGATTTTGAAAAATCACTTGATGAAATCTTAAACGCCATTCCTCGTGAAAGGAGAACATACTTGTTCTCTGCTACAATGACTAAGAAGGTACAATTTATTCTATATTCAAAATCAATTCTACAAAATATGTAAGGGTGTTGTTATTATTGGTAAAAGATGGAATTAATATCCAAAATTTTGGGTAAAAATTAAAGTGGTTCATTTCAGGTGCAAAAGTTGCAAAGAGCTTGTCTAAGAAACCCTGTAAAGGTAAGAAGCCATAATCAATATACAAATTTCTATATCCTTTTTTTTTTTTTTTTTTTAAATATTATTTTTTGTTTTTCAGATGGAAGTGGCGGGTAAATATTCTACTGTGGACACGTTGAAGCAGCAGTTGCGTTTTGTGCCAGCTAAGCACAAGGACTGTTATCTTTTATATATTTTACTTGAAAAATCTGAGAGCACATCAATGGTGTTCACACGTACATGTGAAGCAACGCGTCTTTTGGCTTTAATGCTTTGTAACCTTGGTTTAAATGCAACCCCAATTTCTGGTCAAATGACTCAGGTATAGTATAGGTATCATTTTTAAAACCACTTTTTTTTTTCTTGCTCTTTTTTGTTTTATAAAATTAGTTATGTTTATTAAATCAGACAAAAAGGCTAGAGAACTTGAGTAAGTTCAAGGCTGGGATCTGTACAATTCTAATATGCACTGACGTGGCAAGTAGAGGACTTGATATTCCTTCTGTTGATATGGTTATAAATTACGATATCCCCACAAACTCAAAAGTAAGTATACATATATATGTTTTTTTTTTTTTTAAAAGGAATTGCAACGTACTTAACTTATAAAAATGATATATTTTAGGATTATATACATCGAGTGGGAAGAACAGCACGTGCTGGGAGATCTGGGGTTGCTATTTCATTGGTGAATCAGTATGAGCTGGAGTGGTATATTCAAATAGAGAAGCTTATTGGTAAAAAGTTACCTGAGTTTGAAGCACAAGAGGAGGAGGTTTTGTTATTCTTGGAACGTGTCACTCAGGCTAAACGCCTATCGCTCATGGTATTAATTTTTTTTTTTTTTAATTGAAATTTGAAAATTGTTTTTATAGTTTTTTGTTAATTTTGTTTTATAGAGCATTAAGGAAGCGGGAGGGCATAAGAGGAGGAGGGAGGAGGATGTGGGTCACAAGTTCCATGGGAATTGAAGAATAACAAGTCTAAACGCAGATAGATTTGGATTCGTGTAATTTCACACTTTTGTTATGAGGATTCAGGAGGCTTCTTCAGTTTTATAATTCTATAGTATTTGGAGGAGGGAATTTGTAAATTTTATTCTAGGTTTTATTTTAAGGATTATCAACTTTTGTTTAGGGATTTTATGTGAATCTCATTTTTGGTTTTGTTTTTCTATGCGTTTTTAGTTTCATAGAGGCTTACCAATTAAAAAAATAAGACAAAACTTCAAAAATGGTTCCTGTGGTTTTCGAAAATATCAAGTTTAATTCCTAAGTTCAAAAAACCTCACAGATCTTCCCTGTGGTTTCAAAATTTTTAACAAATGGTCTTTTTTCACTAATTCCGTTAGCATTTAACCGTTAAGTGAAGGGTATTTCTGTAATTTCACAACTACAGGGACTGTTTATGAAGTTTTGACTTATTTAAAATAAAACAAATAATTATTTAATATTAAAGGGTCCTACCCCCTCTTTCTCTCTCTCTCTCTCTCTCTCTCTCTCCTGTTTTTCTTCTCCACCGGCCAAGAAGAGGTTGCCGACCATCAGGCAAAACACCTTTCCCAGCCTCCTCCTTCGAATTTGTGATGCCGACTAGAGTTGAAAACGGGCAAAACACGTTGACCACACTCGACTTCCTCCACCGTCGTCCGCCTCCATCTCGACGTTGTAGGCACTCAAACTGTGTTTCAGTTATGGAAGAAACTCGAATTATTGTTTCTACAACAAATCTCAGCCAAGAAAATACATCTCCAAACTCGAATCCATCAGATTAAATAAAGCACAAGGAAAATCGATTGATTATTGCAATGAAATTAACACTATTGCACAATCGTTGGCTTCAGTAATATGACATGTGATAAGATCGACCATATGAGCATAAATGAGTAAATCAGTTACCACCATTCCTCCGGCAGATTGTGGAGACATGTAAACCAGCAAATTAAGGTTTGAGATCCTTCAAATCGATGGAAGAAATGGAAACCTGCGAATCAATGGAAGGCCCATCTGACTCAGTTTCAACCTCCATAAATCGAAAAATGATGCAGAGGTTTTTATCGTTAATGATGCGTCTTCCACATCGCCGACCAAATACATCCATCGAACTGTGGTTAAAGATCTTGGTGAAAACCACACACAAAACGTTTGATTCTTATTATTATTTGTTTCCGATTCTCCCTTCTCTCATGGGAAACTAATTTGCATGTTTAATTTTCCCCTAATCCTTGATCAAGCAAGGTCGATTCATCATCAATTACCTTCGACAGCCACTTCCCGTTGGTTGTCTGATCATCTAGAGAATAATTTCAATACCCCCTCAACACACACACACACACAAAAAAAAAATTGATACCTTGATCTTCATCTGGTGTTTGTTTGGAATTATTGGGTTTCTGATTTGCTTTTGGGTATTTGATCTTCTTCTAGGTTTTCTTAGTTAATAAATAGCAGTGAAAGACAAGTGAGCTTTGGAATCGATCGTATGATGAAGAGAACGAGTTTCAGATTTATAGCCAAGGATTTTATGGCTGGTATGTGTGTGTGTGTTAGAGAGAGAGAGAGGTGGGACCCTTGCATATTAAATTTATTTATTTATTTAAAAAAAAGTGATATAAAACCTCATAAATGGTCATGGGTAATGAAATGACAAAAATGCCCCTGACTTAACGGCTAGATGGTAACAGAGTGAGCCAGAAGGACGAAATGTTAAAAGTTTTGAAACCACAGGGACGATCTGTGAGGTTTTTTGAACTTAGGGAATAAACGTGATATTTTCGAAAACCACAAGGATCATTTTTGAAGTTTTGTCAAAAAATAATAATCAAGTCAAGCTTTTATTTTTTTACAGAAAGTTTGAAATATTATCCAATTTTTTAATAATAAGCAAGTCAACTATCAATAATTATACTCTATTATTTTCATAAAAACAAAAACTACATGTAAATTATTGGATTGTATATGTAGTCTTTTATAAAATTAGGACCGATCCACGATATATCCAGGGATGTCTTAAAAAAAAATTTCAATACTGTAATTTTTTTTAGGAAAATTTCATTTTATATAGTTTATATATACATAATAATATAATATTAATATATTTAGCGAGATAATAGTATAAGTTGTAATTGGTTTAGATGGTTAAGATGTTAAAAGTTGTTTTAGGAGGTTGTAAGTTTAAATTTTCTTTCAAATATTTATTTTTGTAGCTCTTTTTATATAGTTTTATATGGACTATATATATTATATTATGATGTGAAAATTAAATATAAGTACTCAGTTGTCCAAGTATTTTATTTTGTTTATCAATTTAACTTGTTTTTTAAAATTTTAAAATTGTCCCATATCAGCCATAATATGAAACATAGCTCCTAGACATCTGTTATATAAGCAACACAAACTTTCAAATTTTCAACAAGTTAAGCTTTTGAATGAGTTTGAGTTTAAACCTAAAACAAAGTTTGGAAAACCGAGAAACCGAACTCATCGGTTTAGGATATCATTTTACTTTGATTTTGGTTCTACCACTGCATAAAATAAGAGGCTTACTACTTTACTTCATGTGATGAAAATCAACATGTATGGACTTAAGATATCAGTTTAATCCAGAAACAATACTTATAAAAATGTTTTTCCATATTGACGTTGACATTATAAAATATTAATTTTGGTCCAAAAACCTAAATTAAATTTGATGATCACCTTTTATAATAATATGTCATATTGTAATAAACTGATCATATGTATTATGTGAGTCTTACGAAATCTACAAAATTATCAAATTTCGTGTCATCTATTTTTTTGGAGAGTGTTTTCTCTAAGATTTTGTAAGTGGTTAATATTACTTATAAGTAGAATATTTCTTTGTAAGTTGAAAGTGATCACAATTCACAAATGATGTTTAGAGATTGAAGATAAGGATTGATAAGATAAAATAAGTTCAATTACCAAGTTATACCGGCTAGTCACAACATATATTATGGCCAAACATATTGTGACCAATTTATGAACATAGTTACCGTGCTTTTTTTTTTTTTTTTTTTTTTAACGACAAAATTATATAAACATATTATCATCGTGCTAAAATAACAAGGAATTTTTACTTGATATAATGATCTTTAAACCATCAACTCCATTCTAATTTGCTGTTACGATACCTACTCGAAATCCATTTATAAGATTTGAAAATGATAGAATTAAAGAGATTCCTTCTTCTGCTTTAGGATCTTAAATTGTAAGCATTGTGAAACCACCAAATAGATCGAATCGTTGTAAGGACATAAATATAAAAAGCTTTACTTTTAGGCAATGTCGTATCTAATTTTTAACAAAAAAGAAAGACGAGACTTGAATGTTCCATCACCTGAAATATGCAAATAAATGATCCAGAGTCTTGATAAACAACAACAAATTGGGCAAAGAACACAATCAGGGTAGATAACGATCACATCAAAAAAAAATTCATTGGTAAATGGTTAAGAATCACCCATGACTCCAAAATGTTAACTTTGATGGGAATCCAATTTCCCGTCTAGTAGGAGGACCACCATTATTCAATGAAGACATATATACCACAAATTCACAAAATGTATTGTTGAAGTTGTCGAAACTTGGATTGACTCGTCAAACTCAAAAAACATCTTGTCGTTTTCATTATAATAGGTATAACCATCCAGCAACTCCACCATGTTTGTAAATTCTTGTTGATCACTCTGATCAATATTAATCACTCAAATAGATTTCTTAAATCAATCATTCATGTTAATCACTCTGATGAATATCAATCGCTCAATTTAATCATTTGGATCACTCTAATTGGATTGAATTATCACATCAATCTCCTAGATCAGGGACTCAAATCAATCATTTAGATTAATCACTCAGATCAATATCACTCACTCAGTGTATATCACTCACTCAGTGTAAACACTCAAATCAATCACCCAAATTAGTTTCCAATCGCTCTAATCAACAGCAATTACTTAAATCACTTTCTCAGATCAATCATACAAATCAATATTAATCTCTTAATCAATCACTCAATCCACTCATATTAATTTCTCAAGATAATCACTCGTGTCAATTTCTCAAACCACTCAACAAAATTCACTCATTTGAATTACTCATATCAATTTGATCAATTTCTCAAACTAATCACTCGGATCATAAGTTATTTAGGTCAATTAGATCAATTGCCCAAACTAATATTACTCATGTCTTCTCCACATCTATAAAAACATATCAACAAAGGTTACATAGGAGGTGGACATATATACCCTTGTCTTTTTCTTCTTTCCACTAAACTCAAGTCATCTCATCTCACATTAAAATTGATGAATATTGTAAGATTTTGTTTTTTTAGAATATAAGGGTAAAATGGTCATTTATTCTCTTTCATACAGTTTATTCGGTCTAGAACAACTCTTTATCTGGACATACATCATTACAAATTCAAATCGTTTTGTATCTTCTTAGTTTTTTGTGGGTGTGTTTTCAGGTGGTGATGATGATCAATTTGAAGAGGAAAAGAAACTTATCATCAAAGATATAGGAGTATCTCCAATGGCGGATCCAGGTTCAAAGTAAAGGGGTATCCCAAGTCGATGGGTTTGGTTTCTCAGTTTTCCAAACTCGCTTTCGTGTTTAAACCCAAACCCATTTGAAAGTTTAACTTGTTGAGAATTGAGAAGCTTGTGTTGCTTATATAACAAATGTATAGAAGTTATATTTCATGTTATGGTTGATGTGGGACAATTTTAGAATTAAAAAAAAAAACAATTTGAAAAATTGATAAACAAAATTAAATGCATCCATGTAGCAACCAAGATTCGAAATATAGACCTCAAACTTAAAAGTTCAAGACTCTATGACTTAGACAACACAATACTTATTTTTAATTTTCACAACATCATAATATAATAGATATAATCTGTATACACTATATAAAAGGAGCTACGAAAATAAAACAAAATAAATGTTTGAAAGAAGATTTGAACTTGCAACTTGTGGAAAAATCCATTAACACCTTAACCATCTAATCCAACTACAACTTGTGTTATTATCTCGTTAAACATATTAATATGATGTATATATACACTACATAAAACAAAATTTTTCTAAAAAATTATAATACCGAATTTCTTTTAGGGGTATCCCGGGATACCCCGTGATCTGTTGTGGATTCGCCCATTAGTATCTCAA